CCCTGCCGCGGGGCCGGCCTGCGGCCTGGGCACCTGGCACACCGCGGGGATCTGGCAGAACGAGACAGGGAAAGGTTGTACCGAGCTTTACAGGTCATCTGTGTGTCAGACCCGTGTGCCACACTGGATCTACGGTGCCAAAACTGAAGGGACACATTATGGGAAACACCCTGGGGGAGTCTTAGCAATATCCCTGGCAGCACAGTGTATTTCTGCTGCTACAAGGCAGGGCTCAGACAGAGAGCAAAATCAAAGCATATCTTATTTCTGGCTGCATAAATGACTGGGGCTGGAAGAGGCAGCGTGGAAGCTCCCTAGATGGAAGGAATGTAAAGGTTTCTAGAAGCCAGAAAAGTTACAAAACCTTTGCTAAAATTTATTATAGTCTCTCATTGTGGCCTCCAGGTGTAGACTGTTAGGAGAAAATTTGTCCAGTTTTGGATAAGATAGCATGGGATGTCTTTGCTTCTAACCTCAGGCTCTTTCTCAGGCACTTAATCACTGTGTTTCTACCGGTGGATTCTGCAGTGGCAGCTACTAAGCCTGTTCATGGTTCCCAGCTAGAACACCAGAAGAACAACTTTCAGCATGAACGCGTACCTGTCAAACAGGAAAGTTTAAAGGATGTCTATGGCCAAAAGAGCCAAAGCTATTCATATTGTCTTTCTCCAGAAAGCAGTCAACACATCTGCAGGCGCAGTTCAGCTGGACTGCAGAGCAAGTATCCCACTAGCCACATACAGACTCTGACAACTAAATCAGTAGTCAGACGGAAAGGAGTGGACCGTGCATATCCCCTGAAACCAATTTTTCACCACAAGGACATGAGTGTTCCAGCGCTCAACAGAGCACATCTTGGAAATTCCCCATACACGGAGGAAGCTCAAAATCATAGGCCTAGCTTAATGAGCAAAGGGAAGCCTCCAGGAGGAATGACTCAGCTAGCTGCAGTGCTCTCTCCTGGGACAGCAGAACCTAAGCAGTCAGCCTCCTATCCACACAGGAGAGAGATGGACTACATCCTAAAGTTGGAGGCAGATGGACAGAACCTGGAGAAGGAAATTCAAAAGAAGAAGGCCCTCCTCAGAGAGAAGCTGGAGAGAACAAAGGAGGTGCTTAAGAGGATTCAAAGAGAGAAGGAGCTTGTCAAGGTAGAGGAGAGAAGAGACAGAGAAGTGGAAAGGACCCATGAGCAAAAGGCTGCAAGAGACCCTGAAGAGAAAACTCCCAGAATTGCAGTCATGCCAGGTGATGGAGTCCTCAGTGGGGCGCAGTCTGCAGAGGCCACTATCCCCAAGTTTGGCACCAGCCTCCACCCCCAAGAGCTCTCTATGGGGAAACTCAAGAAGGAGCAGCTGGCGGCCAGCAACAGCAAAATTCGAGACCACATACCCATGGGGCATTTAGCCTCTTGTTCAGAGCTGGCTCCAAAGCATAGACCTTCTCTCTCTGACCGAGGTTCTGGTGACCACTTGTCCACAGAGGTGCTGCACATGCAGGCTGACAGCGCCATGGAGCAGGGGAAGCTCACACAGTGCAGCTTCTGCGGACGTAAGTTTCTCTGCGCCAGGCTTGAGAAGCACATGAGTATTTGCAGCAAGAGCCAAGGCTCCCAGAGGAAAGTGTTTGATTCCAGAAAGGCCAGAGTTAGGGGAACAGAACTGGAACAGTATCAGCAGTGGAAGAGCTCAGAGGAGCCTGAGGTAATGTGTAGTCCCTTTGCCTCCCTTGATCCACATCTACTGCTCACATTCCTTCCACTTTGACATCTGACTGAGATGCGGGCACCTTCACTCGTACATGGGGCTAAGGGGTACAATCCCTTACAAACCTTTGCCTCTGAAAGGTTCTTGCCAAATGGATAAATAGATCCATTTAAAATCTAATAGATGGGGGCGGGCATCCTAACTGACTTGTCTTTGTAATGCGTCAAGGAGTGTACTCCTGGAGAAAGCTCACTCCTTGCTGTAGTCCGGGTGCCCAGGATGCAGACTGGGTCTGCTGCAGTACAGCTCTGTGACATCAGGGGCTGCAGGCAACTGACTGAAAATCCCAGCTATTAAAACAAAGGCAGTGGAAATATGCAGCTTTGTTTCCACAAAGCAACTATAGCAACACACTCCAGTTCCTTGGCCTTATTGCTTGCTTTTCTGGTTGTTCTCAAAGTCTTGCTAAGTATTGACGTCCCCATCAGTATTTCTTTCAAATGCTCCTTGGTGCTGGTATTTCTGATCCCCCTTGTGGGACTCAGCTTCCCAGGGGTGGTTTTACATCAACCCAGGGAATCCCCACAGATGGGTGACCTCAGTTGGACCCTGAGCTTAAGTTTGAGAATGGAGACTGACAGTTGTGCCATCTGCTCTGCCTTTCCCTTCTGCAGAATAAGCCACCCAGAAAGAACAACTGGAAACAGAAGCATGAAGTTTTGATTCAAACCCTGCGCCAGGCCCGCCAGATCCAGCAAGTCCTCTCCAAGGGAGGGAAGGCATCTGCCCTGCTTCCCTTGCCTCCCATCGAAAACCCAGACTATGTTCCCTGCCCCTACTGCAAACGCCGATTTGCTCCCCAAGTAGCTGAGAGACATATTCCTAAATGCAAATACATCAAGAGTAGGACCTTACCCCCACTGCAGAGGAGGCATTGCTGAGGTGGCATCCAGCTGTTCCTCCACTGCAATTCCCTGCTTGTTTTCTGCCAGGTTTCCAGAACAGACACTTGTGCTTTCCCTAGCATCAACACTGTCTGCAAGTGTTGAGCTTGTACATACAGCAAGAGAACAGCTCAGGACATATAAACAGAATACTACAACCTGTGTACTTTGACCTGTGCCCTGGCTCACCCCATGAGGGATGCCCCTCTGGGGGCTGCTTCTCCCATCCAGACTCAACATGGAGTCTGGGTGTAGATGTGAGGCTGCCACTGTTCAGCCAGCTGAGCAGAGAAGAAAGGCTGTTGCTACAGGCTGTCAGCAGGACAGCAGCAAGGAGCAAACCAGCCATGCGAAAGGGGCTGTTCTTCAGAATCGTTAAAGGGGGACACTGTTTTGGGGGGAAAGAGGTGTCTTACAGACCCTTTTAGAGAATCATCTGCTTATAACTGGTGACAGTTCCTGCACATTTCTAAGTCAGTTATTTTTCCAGATTCTGTTTTTAATATATTACACTAGTTCTGTTATATAAAAGTTGTTTTAAATGGTGTCAAGAGTGGTTTGTGTTCTCAGAGTAAGAATGACTCTTTGTATGAGAAAGGTGCAAGAGGAAGTACATAAAGAACAAAAAAAATTTTAGCAGTTCCTTTTGGAAGTCCTTCAGTTATGTAGCAGCAGCTCATGGAAACCTAGAAAAAGAAAAGAAGTGACTAGATTAAACTGGACCTAGTCAGAAGCTGAATATGAAAAACCACTCCATCCTTCAATGGGTGGACCTGACTCCTGAAAGAAGATTGAGAACTTCTGCCCTGTAGATACGTGGGCAGAAATAATTCCTTGGCACACCCTAGAAAAGCATGAAGGTCCCAGAAAGAGTCAGTGCTGCACTGTGCCAGCCAGGTATAAGAGTATACAAACCTAAAGAGGAGAGAAAAAACAGACTTGAAACAAGGGAAAATAATTTGCTATAGCCAAATTGATCAGAGAAGCAAAACCAATGCTCTAACTTCAGAGCTTTGAAATACAGGATAGCAAGAGGTGACAAGAGATAGGAAAGGGGTAAACTGGAAGCTTTATGCCAGCTTCCTTGCATTAATGAAAGGTGTAACTGAATTAAACAAAGAGTAGTTCAGAAATTCAGAACCACTTTCTGTCTTGTCGTATTAACTCCCTTCCCTTTGCACTGTGTTTTACTGACTGGGTTTAGTGGACCCTAAAAGTCAGCAGAGTGCAGTGACTGGGGTAGATACACACAGAAAAGCTTTTGATACTGTAAGATAAACCCATCTGTTGGGGACTGCTCTTAAGTGACAGGCAAACGGCTAATGCTGAGATTGAAACTGTAGATAAAAGTTATTTAAATTAAATCACCAGGCTTCATTTGTCATCTTTGTTTCGGAACTAACCATGGGCAGTTCACCTTCTGGTGAGCTACTGTTTTAGGTCAAGACAGAGAGCAGTATCCAGAAAGTCTCTGATAACTGATTTAATTACTAACAGTTTAACCAAAGCATCAGCACCAAGATTTACCCTGCTGCTTTGCTGTCGTGGTTACAGTTACCCTGGCACTACTCAGGCCATGTTACTGACGCCAGCTCAGCTTCCTCTTCTACTGCAGCACAATTCCCCTCTCAGAGACATGCTGCATTTTCAGTATCCAAATCTCTGGTCAATTTTAAGTCTTTAACCCAGCTCTGCGTCTCAAGACATTTCACTGTTTACTAAAAACCCTAATAAAGAGTTAGAAGTGACAGGCATTAAACAGTGTGCAGGAACAGTTGGCCGAGCAGGCGTCAGGCAGGTTCTTGCTTCTCAAGGCCTTAATGCTCAGTAGAAGTTGTTCTGAGAGAAACAGGTACTTCTTCTCTTTGAGCCTCTCTCTTCCCATTACTCATTTCCCACTTGGCACTCAGACTGTTGAAATAAACACACACACACAAAAGCCCCCTGACGTCACTAGGAGGAGATGCAGCAGCAAGAGAAAAGTTGTTTTGTTGCTTGTTGGGTCTTTTTTTAGTGAAGGGACACAGAACCTGACATTTTTTTCCTGTAGCAAAGAACCTGCAAGCCCCTTGGCCCTCTTTCTATAAGCAAAAAAAAAAAATCAAACAACAGAATGCCATGAAGCTAGCTGACTATGTGCATATTTCCCTTTCCTCTCAGTGAAAAAAAAAAAAAGACTCGGAACACAGGAGAATGAGTTTAAACATTTATTTAAACAGAAACTCCAAACCACTCCACCCTTTAACCTTTCAAAAAAAGACAATGACAAACTAGTTTTCAGCCAGAGTGTCAGAGCAGGCATAAGTTGTGTTCCACTATAACAACTCAGTAGCAATACTAGCAGGAGACGAACACATACGGAGCTAGCACTGCAAGAAGGGGAGAAGTAAAAAAGGTTTGAAACTGCTCAAAGGCACTTCTGCCCACTTGCCCTTCCATTTTCAGCCCAAGACGAAGGTGCTGGCTTTAAACTGCTTTGTTGGTTGCATAGCTGGCTGGTGTGAAATCTGTGGTCTGTAACAGGCACAACCTGGATAGCGTGAATCCTCTAAGGCACATATGAGATTGTGGAGTACAGGGCATCCTCTGTCAGGGACCCTAATCCTCCACTAGATCCAAAGGGAATCCAGTCTGTGCACCTAGCTTCCCAACTGCAGAGCATTGAGAAATGAGGATAGCAGTGCACTGCAGGAGAGCGACTCCCATCAGCTTGGTGCTTGCTTATTGGACATGGCTCAGGCTCAACTCTTCACTCCTCAAAGGCACTGCCGCAACGTGACCAACTCAATCGTTTCCAACTGCAACAACAACCCTCAAGCTGGGACCCTAACCTGAGAACTGGCTCCAACGCACATCGGGGAGAGAGCAGAGTCACAAGGGCAACCAACTGATGTGGTGACACCAGGGTGCCCGACGCTCACCACCTCCCAGGAGGGCTGTCCTCCTGCCCTTCCTTCAGTAACGATAGACAGGCACGCAGGTACGATCCTTGCTCTGGACACTGCACTGGAGAGACTGCACTTAATTCAGCTCCAAGATACTAGCAATAGGCACCAAAGAAGTATTTAAGTAGCACAAGTTACAAGCAGGATGGTTTGGCATCCACCTCTAGAGACAAATGGGGAACGCTGGCTCCCCCAGAACAGTCTCTCAAAAGAAGTCTAGGAGAGGTGACAGGATATCCAACTCCAATAGTCCTAAGGCAATTCTAGTGACATGCCATTGATGGGGATGATTTAAGCCTAATGAAATCATAACCCCACTCTCACACCAAAGGTGAGAGAGACTCAGGACTCCTTAGAGGCTTCATGTAAGGCAAGGGAGGCTAGCTGCTCCCAGGGATCCTACCAATCCCAAAAGCTTAGCTCAAAGTCAGTTTGCTAATAAATTTAAGGGGAATAAAATTAACCTCATTCTCTAACAAGAAATGAGGAAATCTGGAGCGTCAGACCATGCCTCTTCCCATCTCCAATTTTCCTGGGAAAGCTTCTAGAAAGAAGGTGAATTCTGGACAGAGAGACTTGATCATTCATGGTCATCGGGGAAGGCTACATCCTGTAACCATGGCATTAATGACCTATTCTGGGTAGGAAACTACATTCCAGCTTCATCAAAACACTTGAGTGGAAAAACACTGATTCTTCCCACACCCACACAGAACGTGGGCACCAGGGGCTGAGCAGAACAGAAGCCAAGCAGGGAGCAGCTATGGGCTTATGCCAAGAAGCCAGAAGCTCTATCACCCAAACCAAGTTGAACAGCTGGAGTAAGAAATAGGTGACTCAGTCTGAGGCCCAGACACTTGTCATCTGGTTGGGAAGCAGATGGTCTGAAACTGAGGACCAGGGATCCCATCTCAGACAGTCCCCGCAACTGCTATTGAAACGACACCTGATTCACTCTTCTTGGTGCATTGCCTGGAAGTTGGAAAGCTCTAGGCACCCAGAATAAAGCCTTTAAACTCTGTATACAGGCCACTGGACACAGCCACATGGCCATTAGCTGCGCCTCGAGTCCAGGGACATGCTGTCTACCATTATCTCCCTAACAGGAAGATCTCCACTCCCTCCAGAATGAGACATTCTCTGCCCCCTCTGCCCCCGAGCAGAGGGGAACA